AGTCTTCGGGTTTTGGCTCAGAGGGCAGGCTCGGCATTCTAAGCTCACAGCAGAGTTCACAGAGAAAAACAGGTTTCCTGGAAACAGAGACACAAAAGGATTAGAATCCTAGCAGGACTCAGAGGGCAATAAAAGATTCTCAGAAGGTTCTTTGGCTCTGGTGCTAACCAACTAGATTCAACACTGCGGCGTCAAGGCAAGGTCTGAAGACAGCTTTTATACTGTGGATCCTTTGATGATGGAACGAGCCTCAGGTGCGTCGAAGGCTCGGCTCAGGAGGATCCACGGCGGACTCTGCTGGAGGAAGGTGGTACTTCTCCAGCTCCCAACAAAACCCAGAAAGGACTGAGTCAGAAATAAATGCATAATGTTAAAGAAACCGCAGTACGCTCTTAGTTCAGTAAATGCAACTTAGAGGTTTAGGAAAATAACTGCACAGTTTTTATGTACTTTTCTAATTTGAAGAAAATGTTAAGTGACACATCACCCCAATAGCAGTTTTCCTAACGTAGCCTGTATGTACTCTAAGACTCTAAGAAGCTTCTAATTTAAGAAAGACAAATGCAGGAGATAATATATGCAAAAAGATCTCTATTCACAAAATTATTCTTTTTTTTTTGTTTTTTGTTTAATAGCCTGTAGGATACAGAAAACTTCCAAGTTCTGTAAAGTAATGTTAGCTGAAAGTACATTTTTAATGTCTTCACATTACACTGTTACAAGTCAGCTGATTATACAGCCCAGCCCTAGAAAATATTATTTTAGTAAGTCTTAAAAAAAAAAACAATTTAGAATCAGAATCAGAAATACTTTAATAATCCCAGAGGGAAATTACTTTTGTTACACGCTCCAGACACAGTTTTATATAACACACATCCAACTATACAATATAATAAAGGTAAAAAATAAGAATAAAAAATAAAAGAGATAAAATATATACACATATAGATCTTTTGAATATATATCTGTACGTATATCTATGCATATGTAAAAAACTAAATCCAAATAAAGTGAAAATCCTAGTAAAGTTATGCGTGGTGTGCAAAAATAGTGCATAAGTGTCAATTACGGGGGATGGGGGGGGGCTGAATCACTTGAGGGAGGCGTTATAGAGATTGAATATAAGCTGTATTTAAGGAAATACAGTCCAGTCTGCAAAAACCTGTTTTGATTTTAACTTTGAGTTCAAGAAAAATAACTTAAAGTTCTGGAAAGTAACTATAATATCTCAAAATTATAAGTCACCTGATAAAGAGGCTCTCTTGCTTCTATAATATATAGAAAAAGCCTCAAAACTCCATGAAATTAAGCTGTAGTTTAAAAGAAATTACAGCGAGATCCATAAAATAACCCTCCAAGTTCTAGGAAAGGAACTCAAAAGTTTCAGGAAAGTAAATAAAAATGTCTTAAAGGAGCAATAAGTTGTTGAGCAGCCTGTAAGTTCTAGAAAGTAACTTCTGTCATAAATTAATCCTCAGATATAGTTTAGTTTTGAAACAGGAAGCCTAAAAGCTGAACTTTTGTGCTTCCTTTGATGATTCCAGCTTGTGACTGCGACTCCAGAGGAATATCCAGCGAGCAGTGTGATCGAGCCACAGGGCAGTGCACCTGCATGGAAAGCTTTTCAGGCCCTCGCTGTGATCAGTGTGCCAGGGGCTACAAGGGAGAGTTCCCTAACTGTGAACCCTGCCACCAGTGCTTCCCCATCTGGGACGCTGTGGTTGGCGAGCTGACCAATCAGACTCGTCGGCTGGAGGCCCGGGTTGATGAGCTGCTGACGGCTGGAGTGACGGCGCCGTACAAGGAGCTGATCAACAGTTTGGAGAGAAACGCCAAGGCTGTCAGGGAGATAGTGGAGAACAAGACGGCCGGAGAGAAGCTGGAAAATGTCCAAGAAGTGATGCATCAGATTACGTATGTAAAATGTCTAAACATAAAAAACAAAAACAAAAAAACAGACATTTTATTTTAATCTTGTATCATTTCAGTGGAGTGATGTCATTCCTCAACGGAAAGCTGAACACGACCGAGGGAAATTTAATCTTTGCTTTTCAAGAAAAAAACCTCACAGGCACAAACTTAGAAGAATTGACTGATGAGGCTGAGAAGCTGCAGCAACGCGTAGAAGAGCTCAGACAGCAGGTGCAAAACATCAAGAACGCCAACATCCAGGGTGAGAAAGGAACTCCCACACAACCCTGATATGATTTACGGCGCAGTACGTTAGAGTTCAGCAGCGTTTTAAGGAAAATGGATGTTTGTGAGTTGCTTCATTTTCAGTATTTCTGTCTGGTTAAGTTCTTGACTTCATTCCAGATATCTTACGGTGGATTTAAATCAGACTCTGTCATTTTTGCCATATTCTTAGTAGAAAGAGTTTTACTTCAATCCTTTATCCATTCATTCAGTGATCTTGAACCTGCAAGAACTCAGACATTTTTATTTATTTTTTATTATTTTTTGTTGTTGTTTTAATTCCTTTTTATTTGAGCAAATTTGTCCAGTGGACCTCTAAACAAATACTCATGAACAAAGAGATCAACTTTTAGCGTTTCCCTGGCTCTAAAATTAGATGGCTTTTGTTTAAAAGTTTTAAAAATGTAAAATGTGTTGGGTTTTCTTTAATGGTATGGCTTGTAGGAGCTATGAGCACAATCTCTGCTGCACATGGCGAGTCCAAAGCTGCAGAGCTACGCTCTCAGGCTGCAACCAGTGATCCGGGCAACACCGTGGAACAATCGGCTGCATTACGGGAAGCCACTGAGGACAAACTGAGCAGCAGTCAGAAGGAGTTTGACCGAAAACACCAAAGAAACTCTCAGAAGCTGGATAAACTGTCCAAAGATTTGGAAACCTTTGACCTATCCCCGCTTAGTGAGAAGGTGAGTCACAGAGAATGTTGTCTTTATCCTCCACCTCAGCTGGTTTTACACCTCTTTGTTATTGCGATGGTCATATAGACATGTGGCAGCTCAGCTGAAGGGGAAAGCTGCTCTCAGTGCGGAGGATTCGGTTGTGTCAGGGAAGATGGAGGGCATCACTGTGGAGGAGATGGTTGCGGCGGTTTTGTCACGACTTCTCAAACCGCCCTGAAGTCCTCCCAGAACCTGGAGCAGGAGATCCAGCAAGCTATGGAGGAGGTGGACAAGCTCTCTAGGATGGTGAGTGCAGGTCTTCATTAGTAGCATCTATCCATCCGTTCAAAGGCAATAGGAGGATGTCTTTACTTTAGGTGTGGGAAGCAAACATCCGCGCTAATGAGGCCAAGGCTAAGGCCATAGAGGTGCTGATCTCATCCAATCGCAGCAAAGAGAGAGTAGAGCAGAGCAACGAGCAGCTCCGTGCCCTCATCAAAGAGATACGAGATCTTCTGACCAGTGAGTTTATCGCTATCTCTTCAGCTGAACGCATTTCAGAGAGCTAAATAACAGCTGATTCCTTCCAGACGAAAAGGCAGACGCTTCTGTGATTGAGGCCGTGGCCAACGAGGTGCTGGCGTTGAAGATGCCCACGTCGGCGGAGAAACTGCAGGAGCTGACCAATGAGATCAGGGAGAAGGTCGGCAGTCTGACCAGCGTGGAGGAGATCCTCAGGGAGAGCGCTGAGGACATCCGAAGTGCAGAGTCTCTCCTGACTCAGGCCAAATCAGCCAGGTAACTCTCCACGTTTGGAATGTGCCATTCATACCCACACACACTGAACACTGTAATAACAGCTTTGATTGGTCACATTTTTATCGTCTAAAAAACAAGATCTAAGAAATGCTGTTTTGGATTAAAATGTCATCTTGGAGCATCAATAAAACAAGAATGAGGGAAATACAGAAAACATTGAAAGAAAATCTGAAGCAAATGTAAAGATGTGAGCAACAATGCATTAGAACATAAGAAACTGTCTTATTTGTGTCTGTAGATCTAACCGTGGTTTTCTTTCTGTTAGTGAGGGGGCGTTACATCTGAAGGAGACGGCAGAATCAGTGAAAGCAGCCCTAGAAGAGACTGAGCGCGCTCAGAGGGTCGCCATGGACGCCATCCAGCTGGCTCAGAACAACACAAGAGAAACAGTCGATCTGGTCAATTCTGTGAGTTTAATCAAGAAAAAAGTGTAAAAACCTTAAAAATAACTCAGCTAAATTAACCCAATGAGCCTCATTCTTCTAAAAACGTGTTGTTTTGCGTTTTTTAGATGGAAACAGAGACGTCAGAATCGGAGCAGAAGGTCAGCCAGGCCACTGGCCGTCTGTTTAAGCTGGAGCAGGAACTGATGCTGCTGAGGAACAACGACCTGGAGATGAACCAGAAGGTGGAAACGGCAGAGCAGGTCTCCGACCGGGCCAAACAGATCGCAGAGGAGGCTCAGAAGGTCGAAGTCGTTTGCTAACCTGTGATTCTTTACAGCAGTGAAGATCTCTTGTGAAGATTTTGTCATTTTTATCTGTACTTCTTATTTTGAGCAGGAGTTCGATGAGGACCTTAAAGAAAAACTAGAGGTGGTAGAGGAAGAAATGGGGGATAAGGGGGAGTCGGTGCTGCAGGCGAGGAGGAAAGCAGATGAGCTGCAGAGGGAAGCCAGAGAGCTGATCGAGCAAAGCAGCAGCAAACTGCAGAGACTTAAAGGTAATTAGTTCCAGATACTTAGTTCATCTAGAGCAGGCATCTCCAAAGTTGGTCCCCGAGGGCCATTGTCCTGCAGGTTTTAGGCTACGTTCACACTGCATCCTGAAGTGACCCAAATCTGTTTTTTTGGCCCATATGCGACCTGTATCTGATCTTTTCATGGCAGTCTGAACAACACAGATCCATTTTTTTTTTCAATGCGACCCAGGCCACTTGGCTATGTGGTCCTGAATCTGATGCGATCTGATCTTTTCAAATGCGACCAGGTCGGATTCATCCCACCTGAACACCATTAATACCTGACAAAGGTCACTATTCTGGGTCTTGCTATGAAGAAGCGGCAAGAAAAACAACAACCATGGCGGACGATGTTGCGAAGAGCAGTATTTATGTTTAACCATCTTGAAAAGATTGTGTTTTTATTGTTGGGAAAGATTGCTAGATGTGCTCCAGCACTATCAATAGGGGTGTAAATCACATTCATCATGGCGATTCGATTCAGTATCGATTTCCTGACCCAACGATTCGATTATTTTCGATACTCAAGAAAACACCACGATACGATTCGATTAATTGGTTCATTTTTTTTTAACTTACAGGCTAGACAATGTTTCAAATTTGAAATAATATAATGAAAGCTGTAATATCGTTATGCTTTTTTTTTTTTTTTTTTGAGAAACAACAGCAAATAACAGAAGTAGAAAAGTTGTACTCCACCTAGGCCAATTAAGACCTCATTCACAGAAAAATAATCATTCCCCTGCGTTATAGATTCTGAAAGGCTTTGCATCAAAAAATACTGCACAAAATCAGTGCAATGAGTGCAATGAAATACCTCGGCTCCAGACGTCCCGCCCCCTCCACAGACGCTCCGCTGCACCTCTCCCAAATTGTAGCTGAACGCAGACAGTGCAGCAGACAGGAGGCCGGCTTGTTTTGTTTTATGACCGTAATTGCGGAAAACAACTTGTGCCAGAAGAGCGAGGTGCGTGAGAACGCTGCGACCCTTTTTCCACCTGGATCTCAGCTCTTTTTGGTCCTCATGTCCCTCCGTCGTCGGACTAAACTCGCCCCCACTTCTTCGCCGCCTCGGCCGTTTCTAGACCCACAGCGTGTAGCACAGACCACGCTTCAATATTGAGCATAAATCAAAAATGTCTGTGTCAAGCTTACTGCAACACACTGCTGGAAGAGTATAACCAGGAAGCGAGGTCGGAGGGCAAAATAGGTTTAGCGCCACCGCAGCACGGGAGGGAGAATTACGCCCAGGAGCAAATGGATAAAAATAGACCGGAGGAAAAAAAGAAACATGAATTGATACTCTTGCGGACGTATCGATGCATCAGATCGTCGGCTGTTGGATTGATGCATCGATACAAAACGACTATTATTTACACCCTAATTATCAACCATGTTTACTTCCGTTAAGACAGAGCACGCTGGCCTGTGACGTCATTGCGTCCTCTACTGCGCATGCAGGACACTTGCGTTGTATGACTGCAGTTCACACAGGAGATCACATACAAGTCGCATATATTTAGAAATGTGAACGGCTACGCAAAAAAAACGGATTTCACAAAAAAAATCGGAATTGAGCGTCAAGGCCTGCGGTGTGAACGTTGCCTTAGTTTCCCTGTTCCAGCACAGCTGATTTACATTGATAGTTGATTAACAGGCTTTTGCTGAACTGCAATCATCAGAATCTGCTGTGCTAAAGCAGAGAAACCTCTAAAACCTGCAGGATAGCGGCTCTCGAGGACCGACTTTCGGGATGCTTGATGTAGAGGGACAGCTAAGGTCAGGTGATTGAAACTGAGATATAATGAGGTGCTGCTGCTGGACTATGAAGCCAAACAGAAATCATAAGTGATTTAATGCAATTACCATGCTATCTTATTCTGCTTATCCGGGGTCGGGTCGTGGGGGTAGCAGCTTCAGTACGGAGGCCCAGACGTCCCTCTCCCCAGCCACTTGGGCCAGCTCCTCCACAAGCTAACATCAAATTTATAATAAACTAAAGTTTTGCACCTAACTCTTGTTTTGAAGACAGCTTAGGTTGCTGTTATCATTCCAATTTTTTGTGTTTGTTTTAAAACTTCAAAAGTAATTTAACATAGTTTGTAAAGATCGATAACTCTGAATACATTTCCTCATAGGAAGATTAAATCTATCGTCCTTCTTTTCGAATTAAAATTCCCTTTTACCTTTGTTTATTTTTTTTTTTTGCTTTTTCTAGAGCTGGAGAACTCCTATGAAGAGAACCAGCGGCTCCTGGAGAAGAAAGCTGAGGAGCTGGCTGAGTTTGAGCGAACCGCCCGCCTCATCCTGGAGGAGATCAGCAGCAAAGTGTCCCTGTACAGCAGCTGTCAGTGACCAAACCATCATCCCCATGGAAACCTTAAGCCACGTCTTTAAACACAGACCTGTCACAGAACTGTCAAAACAATAAAAATGTTTAAATAAGTCTAATATAAAACCAAAATAAACCTCAAAACTCAGAGTTAAAATAAATAAACCTCCATGTCAAAAATTTCACTCAAAGCATGACATATAAATGTTTGTCTTTGTATGTACTTAATGTGTGCAAAGTTTGTTAATAAATATTGCTTTAATTTGCAGAAACAACAGTTTGAATAAGTGAAATCACACCAGTTTTGATTGTCTGTGTTTGGAAATAAATAAATCATCTGATCAGTGAGCCTATTTTATTTAATATTCTCAGTTTATTAATAACAGTGGAACTGGCTCTTCTGATTGAACAGTGACCAATCAACCACAACCAGCCAATCAGAATACATTTGTTTCGACAAAGACGCTTCTTGGTAAAATTCTAACACAGAACTGTAAGCTTGGTATTTATATCCAGAGTAAAATTTATATTTTTCAGGAGACTCTTAAAACAACAAAACATTCTGTTCTCTGATTGGCTAGTATTAATAGCAGAAAATAAAATCTGTGCAGCAATTTGAAGATTAATAATGATTTAGGGTGTTCTCCGAACGCGACGTAAAAAAATAAAAATTCTCTCTTCTGATTGGTCAATTTGACCGGAGTGCCTAAAGCTGATTGAACAGTCGGAAATCAATCAATTAAGCTGGCCAATCAGAGGACACATTTTTGCTGAAAGAAATAAATGGACCCAAAATGATTTATTTAGAACGAGGTTTAGCTATAAACAGGGAAAAAAAATCATGAATTTATTTCTGTGTGACGAATCTGTCCAAGCTGTACCAAGCTAAATTTCTAAACTTCTTAAAACGGTTTGAATACAATATATCATGCCTTAAACTAGAATGTAAAATATCTAACTGGCCAATCAAGGGAGAGACAGTTTATAGGCGGGGGGTTAGCTAAGTTATTAATAGACCAGTTAAATCGGAAGAAAAATGTCTGATTTTAGAGTCGATTCGACGGCATCGTTTCCCTGAACGCTGATTGGACAGAAACGAAACCAGCCAATCAGAGGAAAGAATTTCTCTTGCGTCGGTGGTATATAAAGCCAAGACCGTTAGGGAGGCAGCGATGACTGAGGAGCAAAGCAATCCCTTCATCTGATTGGTCAGTTACAATTTCTGTTTTTGGGGCAATACTTTAGTGATACATTCTTAAATTTATCAAGTAAATAAAATTATGTTTCTAATAAATGTATTTTTTTCTCCAATTAGAGAAATATGTTTTATAGATTTATGGAATTTAAACCAAGTAAAGCTAAAATTATTTAACTTAGACACATCTTGATAGAACATGATTAGAAAAGTTTTTTTCCCCCCATCTAAAATGCAGAATTTATACATTTTCTGTAATTTGGTAAGCCTCTAATTAAACCTGGAAAGTGTTATGGTGTGGTTTTAAAATACATAATATTAATAGATGTTTAGGTTGTTAGCAGCTGATGATGCATCATTAAGAACAGAAAAGAAAAAGAGCAAACATTTCATTTATGAATATTTGTTGATTGGTTAGTAAGAATGAAGAGGCTCCACACATGCAGGAATGATCATTTTATTTTATTCAACAGGTGGAAAAAGAAATCTGTCAGAGTGAGACCTCCTTAATCTTAAACAGTGATTCCACTTACAGCTTTAAGCTCAAATTAAAGTGCTTTTCTGCTTTTGCAAGTGATGTGGGTGAGTACAGGTTAAAAAGGCTGGATCGTTACAGTTTCTGGTTCTAATCTCTACTGCCGGGGTTACGGGGCGGCGGAGCTCCTTCCACCGGTGCCGAGCTGGGAACCGAGAGCAGCTGGCCGCCGTGCATGCGCTCGTTGACGCGCAGCTGACATCCGTCCTGCAGCATGTGAATGGCTATCCTTGCAATGTTACGGGAGTCGTCCAGGCCGCAGTGAGGACGACCTTCGTATTTCATGCCGAGTTTCTCCAGCATGGTGCTAAGCTTGGTCTGCGTGCGCGGGACCTGGGGAGACCATATAAAGAAATCAGTATTGGACAGAATCACACAGAGGGCTAGCCCACTGTTAAGTACCTAAAATATCACTATAACTATGACATCAACAGAAAAAAGAACTGTCTAAACTGTCTAAAAATTGTCCTTCAACACGTAATTCAGATTATTTTCAGTTTTATCTATAAGGAACAATCCTCTCAAACAAGCATTTAGGATTGTAATTTTTGTTGGACTGATAAAAACAAAGGTTTAAAAACACATTTTATAGATTTCAGGAGTTTGACCGTTACATTTAAACCAACTTTTTTATTTTGTAAAAAAAAAAAGGTTTTATTGTTCAGGGCAAAAAAAAAATAAAGTTTTTATTTTATTATGGTGCTTTTTTGCAGACCCTTGCGCCTCCTGCTGGTCAATAGATATATTATTTTATACTTTAGTTCTTTTATTGGATCTTAAACATAAAGAGAATCTAAATAGGAAAACAGCAAACACCAGAAATATATAAAACAATAAAAAAGGGAGGCATGATGGAAGGAACAGAGAAGGAAGTTGAGAAGGAAGGTTAGAAAGAAAGGATCCAACAAACAGAAAAGGAGAAAGGAAGGAAGGAAAGGAAAGACAAAACATTAGGGACAAGAATGGAAGAACAAAATAGGGAAAATGTTAGGACACGTAGAAGGAAAGAAAAATTACAAAATGAGCAAAAGAAGGTAGGAAAGGCAAGGATGGATGACAGAGAGATATCAAGAAGGGAGGTAAGGAATGAGAAAGCAAAGGAGGGAGGGAGGTTACAGACAGGATAGAAATAAACCAAACAAAGAAAGGAGGGAAGGAAGACAGGATGGGAAGACAGTAAGATGGGACACAGGAAAAGGGATTTGTGTATAGAGGGGAGAGAAGGAAACATACAAGGATGAATCAGACTTATGGAAACAGATCCTGATTGAAGATGAACCATCAGATGATTCTGAATCACAACAAAAACAAAGATCTCCTTCCATCAAGATTCAATAATATTAGGTAGAGAAGCAGCACTATGTGTGATTTGGCTCTAACTCTAAAACAAACAAAAAATGATTGCAGGTTGATGAGATTTTTAAAAGGCAGCCAACATTTCCACCGCTCAGAGCCAACAGGCTAACATGGCCACCCCCGTTTCTCTGCACATCTCTGAGTAACAAACCTTATAAAAGTTGCAGTAAGACTTCCTTATATTGATCCACTTCTTTGCAAACTGAGGATATCTGATGCGGCTGATCCGACACTGGATGTTGAGAAACTTGCTCATGTCCCACGCCCTGCAGAAGGCACCAACCATCAGAGCAGCAGGAGGGAGAAACACAAAACTCAGCAGAAAGTAACGACGGAAATCAAACCCACCCGTCGGTCAGGATGGCGTATTTGTATCTCGTTCCGAGCTCCCTCTCCTGAAGCCATTCCACGACTCGCTGAAGGACCTCTGGAAACGGATCTGCTTCATCCACTGTTTGCTGGAGCCAGAAGACACAGAGCGTAGAGTTTCAGCTACACCGTCAGACATGGAGTCGAAGTGAAAGACGCAAGGCGAACTCAGACCTGTGTGATTCCTGTTAGCTTCACGCAGAAGTCTGAAAGCTGCGGGTTCACCTCTGGTTTCACGTATGCCTGAAAAGTGTCCACCTGCAACGAGATGGCGTTTAATAATCTTCCACTATTTAGTTAAAGTGATTAAGTGATTAAGAAGCAGGACGTACAATCTGTAAGGTGTGTGTGTTGATGAGGACCATGGGGAACTCGATGATCTCATGCAGGAAATCTGAGGGATTGTCCTCTTCACATGTGGCCTCGAAGTCCACCACGCAGATGTAGTCATAGTAGGTGTCAGTGGGCCCTCCCTCCGCTGCAGACTGCAGCAGCTTCTGCTTCTTGTAGTGGTTCTTCAACCTTTTCTTCATCACATCCTTCACCCCTCTTCATGGACAAACAGAGAAGGCAGATCGATCGAATCGGATGCTGAGATTCCTGCAGCTGAGACTCAACAGAGACTCACCTGGTGTCAAGCTTCAGCTCTGCCAGCTTGATCCGCAGCTCGTCCTTGGACATGCGGTTGATGTGGCCGTTGGCCACTGCGATTTCTTTGTAAACTGGGTGACTGAAGTCTCCGTTGGACTGAGACGTCTGAGGAGCATTTTCTTCATCCGGCTGTATTCTGCTGCAGGGTTTCGTCTGAAGAAGGAATGAATAGGAAATAATCAACAATTCAGGACTTTATATAATAGATCATTCAAGCTTCCTGCAAAGGAAACACAGATTTTGCAATTAAAAAGGAATTCTATTCAGATGTTAATAGTGACTGACCACAATGAGGGTAAACAACAAAGAGGCATTGAAAAAAAATGTTTTATGGAGATGCTGGTTTTACTTTCCAGCCAAATAAGGAAACTTTTTACACCATCAAAGGTTAGCTCAATAAGCACGCTACAATCTGCCACCAAACTGGATTCAACAGTGGTGCTGTAAAGATGAGAAGCTAAATACCATGATAAAGCAACCTGAGTTTCCTAAACATCTCAGAAAATCATTTTATCAGTTCTTATCTTGTTTCATATTCTATTTTCTGAGAGACTTTTTGCTTATTAGCTATAAGTCATATTCAAGGTTTTTCAAAGATGAAAAATAAACACCTCTATGTGAGTTTTATATACAAAATATCCACTCTTATTTTTAAATGAATTACTGAAGCAAAAAAAAAAAACAACATTTTTGATTCTGACTGATTGATTATATTCTGATTTCCTGAGATCCATTTTACATAACCTCTACTCATTCATCATTAACAACCCTTTAATAAAAGACATCCTGGAAATATTCATAGGTTTCCACAGCAAGATGATATACAAATGAACAGATTTATGACCAAAGTATAGAAATAAAATACTGGCTGGACAAACAGAAACAACTTTCAGGTAAAAGGAAGAAGAATAAAGTCTGGAAATCCTTTTTAGCCCCATGAGGACATTCAGATATTTGCTTTAAACATAAAAAAAAATGCTTCAGGGTCTTGTTAAATGTGTAGGAAATTTGGGTTAGGGTAAATGTGCATGCTGGATCTTTATTAGGAATAAGGTTGAACATCAACATCATCATAATCACCCCTGGATGCTTCAGTCCAACCAGTCCTGTTATGCAGTTTTTAAGATAAAACATCACAGAAAAAATAAAAATAAGACTCACATGTGTTGTTTAAGTGCTTTGAGACGTGTGTTGTCATTTTGATGTTGATAAATAAACTGAATTAATCTGAAAATGTTTTTTTTTTTTTTACGATATCAAATTATTCTATACAAAAAACACCTTTGATTCGTTAGCTTGTAAACTAACTAAACTAAACTAGCTAAACCTAAAATATGTACTAAATGCAGGTAGTAGAAATAGAAATATTGTTGTCCAGACTTAAAACGTTTTTTTTTTACTAATGTAAAGCGAGCTAAAATATAAGGACTCACCTTTCCATCTTCTGTTTCCTTCGACATCTTCACGTTCACGTCTTTCCCTTGAATATTCTCCTTGTGTTCATCCATTTAAAACAAAGTTAGCACCAAACGGTCACCGCCAAATGTCATTAAAATACAAAGATTAAACCACAAAACAATACAGCTGCACTAGCTAATACTGATAAACATCACGTTTTCCTCAAAACCAAATACAGCCTCCGCATGTTATTGCGGAGCAGCTTGACTTTATTAATTTAAAGAATATAAGATAAATGAAAATTAATGAGAAAACGTCTCTTCCGACGAACCGCTGCAGTGTTTAACTTTATTTTTCCAACACTGAACACACTAGACTGTTTCCGCTTTGCGCCAAAACCAATAAAAATTAGACCGTAGCGCCCCCTAGCGACGAGGATGACCAATTCAACACTACTAAAACGTAATAATATCGTATATATTATTATTTTATTCAAATAAAGTTAAAGATGTATTTCCGAAACTTTGTTTTACTTCAATTGTCGGTTTAAAAAAATAAATGATCTATATTTATTCATATGTTGTAATATTTATCTTCAGCGGCGTCCCCATAAATTTAATTATACGAAAAATTTGTAATTTTCCAGCTCCCGTGAATGCGTCACAGACATGACGCTCTGATCAATCAGAGTGTGGAGGCGGCACTCATCCGTGTCTTGTTGCTGATAATATTTAAAAGTGTTACAGAAGAAACATTGAATATTAAAGAGAGAAGGACGATAATAATTGTTCTTTTGTGGTGGCTTTTTTGTCTAATTTTATTTCTTCTGAGACTTGGTTTAAAACTTCATTCAATGATATCTCTATCTTAAATCCAAAATTATATTTGATTATCTTATTGTTTATTTTTATATAAGGACCCAGAGAAAAAGGCACATAGAACTTGGAAAATTTCTGACTTCTAAGTCCTCTTTTTCTACCCATCGATTAAGATGTATCTTGTATTATGAAAAAAATAAATATCATTAAAAATACATTTTAACATGCAACTTGTTTCTGTCAATCAAGTGTTACTATAATTAATCTAGGTAAAACAATTTAGCCAGTGTCAGAACCAGAGAACTCCATAACTGGTCACTTGGTGGCCAACCTTAATATCTATTTAATAGATATAGAATCAAATAGTGTACTTTAGAATGAAATTCTCATTGTTTTTATTATTTTATAATAAATCCAATAAATAGTACATTAAACTATCTAATAGAATATGTAACATTTATTTGATATATCTGTATATCTATACATATATTTATTTTCTCCCTTTCAGCCAACCATACAATGTAGGGGTCACATCACAATGAATCTGTAAATTATTTCTGACCCCCTCTTTGTAAACCCAGGACCTAGATGATCAATGGTTATTTGTCGCTGTGCTCTAATCCAGATTTACTTTCTGGGCTTTTTGTTCAATTCTCTGTAATTATTGTTTCTATTTGGTCCTAAATGCAGACACTAAATCATTTAATCAACTTGGATTAAGATCTAGTAAAAAACGAAGAAAATGCTTCTTGTATTAATTGAATTATAGAACCACATGCAATACATATTTTATGAGCAGCAATGCTCAAAAATAACCACTAGATGTCACTCTTCTCCAATTTTCAGTCAGATTATTCATAGAGACAGATTCATTATTTGCTGTTATGTATTTTCTAGGGACAGAATTTCAGATTTGTCCTTTTTTGAACCTGAATTTCTAAAAGAATAATAAATAAAATCTAATTTGAATTTATTAAATATATATATATATATATATATATATATATATATATATACAAAAGAATGGCGGAGGGATTAAAAGGCTGGACTGCAGGACCTGTGGTTGAATCAACAAATGTATGGATGGATTGACAAATGAATAGGCAAACAGACTAAAGGACAAAAGGATTGATAGCCTAAAACAGCTGAAAGGATGGACAGTGCATTTTCTAACACAACAAGGATGTTAAGGAATAAATACTGCAGAAAAATATTTTTCTATACTAGATCAGTTGAAAAAATTTCCTTTAAAGAGCTGCAGAACTGCTGTCAACTTAAATCTTTTTGATGATTCCCTCCTGATACCAACAGAGCAGTTTCATCACCTTAGAACCATTGCTGTCCTCCGAGGAGATCTTCTCTATAATGAATGAGACTGTAGGGAATAAAAAAAACTCAACATGATAGAAAAACAAAGATTTATTTCCTTTTGTGAAAAAAATAATCTTATGAAACACATGACTATGACCTAAGTACATAAAGAAGCGAGAGCGATCGGAGGGAGTCTGTGTCTTCTGACAGGAGTAGTGTTGGAGCAAGTTTTAGCAGAAAATACATTCAGACAGAATTTAAAGTAAAGTAGGAAATCTCCATATTTATGTTTTTCTAAAGGGACATAAAACATTAGAGTTGGAGAAGGGAAGAAAGAAGCTGCATTGGAAAAGGCATCAGTCCCATTTCATCCTCTTCAAAACGATTTAGGGATTTGGAAAAAAATCTGAGCTACATTTTTTGATTTCCCTCTATTCAGCTTTTGATGCCGCTTCAGGTCCAACAAATAGAAGAAATATAGCATTGAAACTACCATTTGTTGTATGGTTTTAAAACAGGCCATTTTGGACCAAATGAGCCACATCAGTACCCATTATTACAGGTCTTCTAATAAATGATAAAAACACATGTTGATGGTCTAATTTGATTTCAGGGAAGTCACTTCATTGAATCAATAGTAAGAGGTTCTTTAACCGTTAAAAATGCCAAAACACTTGATATTTCCGTTGGACTTGAATGCAGCACTGCATCAAAGGCTTCATATAAATGTTCATTTATTCAGGTCACTCCATAAAAAGGCGTTCTGCTAAAGTCACAGTTGATCACATTTTTTATGTGTTTCCTCTTTTCTCCACTCTAGTTTTCCTCACAGTAGATTTGTGCACAACTCTGCATTTTCTCCTTGTTTCCAGCTCTGGTCAGATGTTTACATTTACTCACTCGTGGTCTTTTTTAGCTATTTGATCGCCTGGATATTTACTGTACCCATTGTTCCTGGAAGGATTGATTCTCTTTGTGGTTTTTGGGGTCAGACTTTGAAGAATTTGACCTTTTAAGAAACTTTATCCTACTTGGTCCAATCCAGAAGAGTTCTAATGGGATCTCGGGATCACTGTTGGGCTGAATTAGGAACAAAACGCCACACCATCATGCTGCCACCTCTGTGCTTCATAGCGGTATGGTAATTTGAAACGTTTCCTCCGAACAAGTTTTGCTAACTTTTCAGTCATTTTGAAGCCATGCATTTAACTCTTATTTTTAAATTAAGCACAGCAGTTTGTAGTTTTATCATACATTGCAAAAAGAAGAGTTAGATGCATCACTAAAAAAAACCCAAAATGGGTAAGCCAAACATGGTGACTGTAAACGTTTGAGCAGAGCTGCAGCTTAGAGGAGTCACCTTAAAACAGAAGAATTCATTCAGACACACACAAAAAAAAACATAAAAATAATTACATTATTAAAAGGCAGTTAAGAAGCTGTCCTGGGAATAAACAGTTTGTTTTTCTGTGCTGGTTTTAAAGTGAAACTAAAAGCCAGCAGATAAGAGCTTAACTGCAGACTGGAATCTGGAGGGAAACAGGCTGGCTCTGTCTGAAGAGAACTAAAACCTGCTGATCACCACCTGACCTCATGTGCTCATTAAAGCGTCTATATAAAAACATAAATTATGTTTCATAGAACAATAGTTCCTGCAAAACTAGGTCAATTTTTTTAGTAAAATCTCCATACATTTCAGGGATTTAAAGAAATAAGTCTGTAGATTTTATTAGCTTTGCTTTTCCTCTCCTGGTTCTAGATAAACGCAGGCGGCCTGTTTCCCTCCTTCCAGCTGCAAGTCTCATGATTTCAGCTTCAACATGAGGAAGGGGACTTATCAGACCGTCCCTTCATGAAACGCAGCAACAACACACATAAGACAAAGAATTAAACGCATTCAAAAGTGGCTCTCACACACAAACATGGAAAAAATAAAATGTTGCACCAAAACGTCATAATTGACAGTAGAAATCATCCTTCAGGTGGATTTTTTTTTGTTACAGCTGGCTGGTTCATTGGAGGCATCCTGAGGGCCTCGACCCCCCCAGAGGTCCTGATACTTCCTGATAAAAGCTTCGCTCGTGATGATTTCCTCTTCAGCTAATCCGGTTAGTGTGTGTGCATTCTGGGGAAGGCTCTCTGTGCGGCGCCCCGGACTGATGCGGTGTAAGGCTACATGTAAACTCCCTCCCTCGTCAGTGTGGGAGGATCAACCGGTCCAAGGTGAACTCCACCTGTTCCCAGTTCTTCCAAAGCAGCACCAGGACGGACACGCCCACGCAGGTGAACGCCATGTGCAGGCGGCTCCGCAGCAGCGGCGCGGTGAACTTCGCCGCCGTGGAGACGCACACCAGGAGGACGGTGACGATGGCCAGCATGATGTTGATGAGCCTGCCCAGCAGGACCTTGGCGTCGGTGTTTTCCAGCTGAACCGTCTGCTGCTGCTGCTGCTGCTGCAGCTCCAGCTTGGAGACGCGGGTCTGACACGACTCCAGGACCTCCTGCATGGAAACGGTCAGACCAAAGGTCGGGTTAGAGATCAGCCTGGAGCAGCTGGATCAGACCTCAAACTATGCACAACTTTTATTTATGTTAAAGAAAAGAAACCAAAGCTGCAAACAGTAAAAAAGAAAATTATAATAAAGGCATATTTATCATGTCCTACCCTGAATCTTTATCCTGCAGAACAAAATTACCTTGAACCTCTGCTTTGCTCTGTGCTTTAACCACAATAAAATAAACAAAAGCTCCTTCCAGTGAGAACAAAACACTTCAGCTTTAGGCAATAAAAGCCACAACCGGTGATTGTCTCCCAGAGGCTGATAAGGCCAGACCAAAGTACACTTCAAGGTGCATCTGTGGGAGGTTTTAAAAAATTTCACTCATGCAGACTTCCTGCTTCGCTGCACATGTAGCGCCTCGAACAGGAGCTCTAATCTGGATTACAACCCTGTGATCAAAAAGCCCGACGTTGTCCTTTTCCCAGGGCAGGATTAAAACCCGTACAAACATGATTCAGAAACTAAAGGATTTCCCAAAGAGCATCTAAGGTTCCAACTGATTTTTCAGATCCTACTGAAGTTTTCATCATTCATACAAAAATATTCAAACACAAGATTATAAACCCATCTGGAAAGCGATCCAATGGAAGAATGAAGATTAAAAGGGTCTTTCTGTTCACTGTAAAAACACCTTATTTGTTCTGTATAATCTCAGATTAAGTGTTTAAAAGTTATGAGTCTCTACAGAGATGCAGGGTTCGTTCTGGACGAGTTATAATATAGATTAGGGCTGAAACTATTAATCGGATTAATCGTGATAATTGACATAATCGCCAACTAATTAAGTAATCAAAAAATCGTTAACTGGAGTAAAGAGACTGTAAAATATTGTCTTTACCTGAAAGAGCGACCCACTTAGAACCGTAATTATATCAAAATTGCAAAAAAAAAAATACATTAACATTTTGAATTTTAGATAAAAAAGAAAACATCTTCATCTGCTCTATCCAGCACTCCTTTCACCTTGTTTTATTTCGTAAAAAAATCTGCTTTAAGGAACCTTTGGCTATCCAATTATTAATTGATTATTGAATTAATGTTTGTCAGATTAACGGACTTGCAAAAATAATAGTTTCAGCCCTAATTAAGGTCAAAAACTAGAAAAAGGATACTGTTATAACTTATTTATCATATTTACTGCTAAGGGTCACCTAATCAGTAAAGTAAAGGTTGGTTTGACTAAATGTTCCAATGTTGTGACACATTCACTGCATCCAGCAGCATCTCAGGTTACCTGGATGTCCCTGGCCCTCTCGTAGGCTTGGTAGGCCACCTTCTCCTCGATACTGGCCAGCTCCTGCTTCAGATTACTGGTCTCGTGCTGGTGGAGCTCCGTCAGGTCATTTAACTGGTCCTCCAAGCGCTCATACCTGGCAGACGGACGTCCACGCGCATGCAGAGTGGTTGGAGGAGAGAGGCAGAAACAATGCATAACTGAGCGAGTGTGTGGGCATAAACCGTGCAGCAGTTTATCTGCTGCGGTGACGACGCTGCGCTGAATGTTTGGCCTTGGTTGACTTAGCAACAGTCAACTGGTTTGTGTGTTTATTTTTAGTTTGCTGCAGCTTTTTAGAATAACCATTAAACTGTCAACACTGTTAGAGCACCCATGCAAACAGAACCACCTGGGTCTAATAAACTGGATTCTCATCAACCTGCCTGATGATTTAGATCCAATATTTCTATTCTATGCTATTCTCTGTTTATTGTGTTGCTATTACTTCAAATAAATAAGCAAAGATGTGAAATCATTTTAAATCAAAGATATATTTAGAACCCGTCACTCATCTAGTGGGAATCTACTGCGAGGAAACGTTTTTCGGAGTACCACAGCTGCCATAAAGCAGCCACAACCAGTCAGGTTGGTTTGAACTGAGCTGCTGAATCCAGGTTAACTGATGGTTATATCTGCTGCTGGGTCACCAGACTTAAAAAGAGTAAAAAGACGTAAAGATTCAGCATTTTTCCACAGCTCTCCTTTATCAAAAACTAGTAATTAAGGTTACTTTAATTATATTAGTTGTAAACTAATGATGTAAAATATTTTAAAATCATATCCATAAATATACTAAATAAACTAGTTATACTAGTAATATTCTTAAATATAAAAAAACTACATATGTTTACTGAGTTTATTGATGAAATAATTCTAGAAGTTTACTAAAAATATACATTTACATTGTAAAATGCAAAATTCAGCTAAATAAAAACTAAACAGAATTCCAATATCATTTATTTGTTGTTTATGAGAAGATGGTAGTTAAAATGAGTCAAAACTGAAGTATCTGAGAGTGTTGGAGGCTTATGGAGATAAGTTTGATCTCATTGGCTGATTCTTGGCGGTGGGTGTGGCCAAACAAGTCGGGTTGCTGTTATCACCTATCCAAGCTTTTTACATCATTGCAGAGTTGTTGGGTTAAATGAGGAGACTGGTTGATAAATTCAACATCAGTATTTTCCCCATTTCAAGAGTCTAAGAGTGTATATATTCAGTAAACATGATTATTTCATTATAGCAATAAAGTAGGGACTCATTTAAATATACCTTAAAGTATACTTTCATAAACTATAGCTTTATTGCAAGTAAATTCATGCATTCATAAAAGACTACTTTACCTAAAAGTGTGCTTTTGTATGCTAAGAGTAGATTTTCCAGTTTAATGGAAGTTAAATAAAGGTACAGCTGGAAGAATGAATTAAGTACACTTTAAAGTAAACTTAAAGTGTTTCAGTCCTAAGAAGTTTATTTTAAACTTCTAGTTTACTTGCATAAGTGAATTTGAAAATATGAACTTAAAGTAAACCGGTTTGGTGTTTTGATCTCATGTTTAGGGATCTGGATTTCGTGATTAGCTTAAAGAGTTGAAGTTGCTAACGGGATCCATCCTCAGGTGTGCATCCTGATACTAGGGGTGTAAATAATAATCATTTTGTATCGATGCATCGATCCAACAGCCGACGATCATCGACAAGTCCGCTCCTGGACGTAATTCTCCCTCCCGTGCTGCGGTGGCGCTAAACCTATTTTGCCCTCCTACCGCGCTTCCTGGTTATACTCTTACAGCAGTGTGTCACAGTGAGCTTGACACAGACATTTTTAAATTATGCTCAACATTGAAGCGTGGTCTGTGCTACACGCTGTGGGTCTAGATACGTCCGAGGCGGTGAGGAAGTGGGGGCGAGTTTAGTCCGACGATGGAGGGACATGAGGACCAAAAAGAGCGTGATTCTTGCGCACCTCACTCTTCTAGTGGGTCAAACTTCAAGAGTTGTTTTCCGCAATTTCAGTCATAAAAACAAAACAAGCCGGCCTCCTGTCTGCGGCACTGTTTGCGATCAGCTACAATTTGGGAGAGGAGCAGCAGAGCGTCTGTGGAGGGGGCGGGACGTCTGGAGGCGAGGTATTGCATTGCACTCATTGCACAGATTTTGTAGCCTCGTGAGACCATCCTGATCTCGCGAGCTTTTAAGACTTTACTCGCTAAGCAGTCTGGAGACTCTCAGTTGAAGAAAATTTGGAGCCGTTCACCAAACGAACGTCCAATCAGCGTTGGCTTTGAGGCGGGTTGAGGTGTGACGCAACGAGAAGCGCGACAGTTCNTGCGGTCAGCTACAATTTGGGAGAGGAGCAGCGGAGCGTCTGTGGAGGGGGCGGGACGTCTGGAGCCGAGGTATTGCATTGCACTCATTGCACTGATTTTGTGCAGTATTTTCTGATGCAAAGCCTTTCAGAATCTATAACGCAGGGCTATTATTATTTCTCAGTGAATGAGGTTTTAATAGGAATAGGTAGAGTGCAACTTTTCTACTTCTGTTATTTGCTGTTGTTTCAAAAAAAAAAAAAATGCATAACGATATTACAGCTTTCATTGATTTATTTCAAATTTGAAACATTGTCTAGCCTGTAAGGTGTAAAAAAAAAACACGAACCAATGAATCGAATCGAATCGTGGTGTATTCTTGAGTATCATAATAATCGAATCGTTGGGTCAGGAAATCGATACTGAATCGAATCGCCATGATGGGTGTTATTTACACCCCTACGTGATACCGTGTGTGACCATAGCAGCTGTCAGTGTGTGAGAGAGGACTGGTTCTGTAGAACTATGGGGACCGGATCAGAACCTCAGTGCTCACCTGTATCTCTCCTCCTGCATCACCTGAGTAAAATAGGTGTAGTCTCTTTTGAACTGCGTGTTCATAGCCTCCATGTCCTCAGCCAGCTGTGCCTGAGCATCCCGGACCTCCCGCACCATGTCCAGCACCTCCACTAGGCGTCCGTTGGATTCGGACCTCCCAGGACCTCCCGACCCGGTCCCCGAGCCTCCCGCCGGGTTCCCGTTTGAATCGGCCGATGCGGACGTCCCAGTGGAGCACTCGTCGTCGCTCTGGTACTTTGTGGGTTTAGCGACGATGGTGGCGCTGCCGCTCAGGCCCCTGGAGGCGCCCTCCGCCTGCAAACCCGTCCCGCCCTCCATAGAGCTCTTCAGGTGGGCGATGTTGTCGGCGCTGCCGAACTTATTCCTGATGAGGTTGGCGATGTCCCGCGGCTTGTTGAAGAAGAACGGCGGCGAGAGCGACACGCCGGGCCCGATGGTTTTAACTTTGTCCAGGGTGGGGTGACGCCCGGAGGAGCTGATGTCCCGCAGGCTGCCCTCCTTGCTGTGACTCCCCGACTCTTTGCTGCTGCCATCTTTGTGGCTGTGCTTCCCGTTGCTCTCTCTGTCCTTCATGCGCTTGTGGTACTGCTCCAGCTTCCTCTGCAGCCGAACGATGGAGTGTGCAGACTTCTGGTTCTTCTTCTCAAACACCTGACGGATCCGGGACACCTGCTGCTTGTCGGCATTGTTCACCAGCTTCAGGTACTCCGCCACGTTCTGATCCCGCGCTTCCTGCTCCACCTTAATCTGCTCCGTCACCTACAGACAAACAAGGAGGATGGAGATTTACATTTTAGGTAAATAAGATCAATGTTTAAAATCATGAAATTTTCCTCTTCATTAAACCGCTGCTAAAGTTTTCGGGTCCAACACCTTCAGGTCGTGTTTATAATATAAACATAATGATGAATTTTCTCTAAAACACTTTGCTGTTAAGGAGACAAAATGCATTTAAAAATACAAGAAGAAAATAATTTTATTTCTGTTTCTTACCCGTTTTAATCTACAGAGTCATAAAAAAATCATAACAATTAAAGCTCCAACTTAACTTAAAAAAGGCTTTATTCCAAAATATTCTGCATTTTGTAGGAATTTTCTGAATATAATCCATTTCTGAATGCGGCTGTTCCATAACGCCTACTTTACAGCTGTGTTCACACAGAAAGCTGCAGACTGCCTGGACACGTGTGACCCCACCTTGAGGATCTTCTGCTGCAGCTTGTCAATGCCCAGCGCTCCCTTTGTAAAATCCACCCCGATGCCATCGACTCCAACGCTGTCCACCACATCCAGGTTGGACTCCGAGCCGCCACGGCGAATGGGCACCGGGATGCTGAGGATGTTGGCATCCAAGCCGCTGCGCTCTGCCTGTGGACACAGAGCAGTTCTTTTATGATCCATCAGAAGCTTCTGGCTATTTTAGAGTTACACAGACATAAGTAAAATAATCCCCCTTTTTGAAAATTTACCAGTTTAGTTACATTTAATAGAGCTGCAACAAGGTAAACCAATAAAAAATAATTATTAAAAGGCAGATATTACAATCTATTATCTGTGACTCGCCATGTCTCAGAGCCGTTTGCTTCACCTGCAGAACTTTCGACTCAAATAAATCAGAATCAGAATCAAGTTTATGCCAAGTAGGTTTGCACTTACAAGGAATTTGACTTGGTGTTGTTGATGCAGACAAAAAACAAAAGATAGAATATATATATTTATATATATACACAGAAGCTATATACACACAGTAGACTATACGTTAATGTAACGCAGAAATCCTGAATGGGGAAAAGAAACATTGTCCAGTGTCACGGGCGGCTCTTGGCCTTGTTGATAAGGCCGGGAAAAAACTGTTTTTGTGACGGGAGGTTCTGGTCCTGATGGACCGCAGCCTCCTGCCAGAGGGAAGTGACTGAAATAATCTGTGACTGGGGTGCGAGGGATCAGCCACGATCTTCCCTGCACGCCTCAGAGTCCTGGAGGTGTGCAGCTTCTGGAGAGATTGCAGCCAATCACCTTCTCTGCAGACCGTATGACACGCTGCAGTCTGCTCTTGTTGCTCTTGCTGCTCTTGTTCTTAAAGTTTAATAAATAAAAAAAACTCATCCTAAAAGAGAGAGGAAACTCTACAGAGATTAAAAAAATGGTGAAACATGTCAGCTTTAAAAAAGAAAACAGATTCTTTTTTGAGAGATTTTGCCTAAATCGATGAAGATGGAGGGAGGCAGGATGGAGGGAGCTCCACAGCAGAGGAAATCTACATAACGTCGGCCTAATGTTTGCCTGCTGGCTGCTTGATAACTGTGAGTGTGTGCGTTACATTTTCATTCAGTTTAATTAGCTGTTTCTAAATGGGCTTTATAAACAAATCTAAATCGAACTCAATGACGATCATTTGACGACAAAGCTTCAATTTTTATTTGCTGACAAAGTCGGAGCGAAGACACTGGAATGTATGAGAGTCTGCAGCATGAATTAGAGCTAATTTTAGAGCTACTTCAATTCATCTGATTAAGTATTGTTTTGACCTTCTCTCACTGCTGATGTATGGACAAGTGTAGCTGATGTAGAATGGCTGCTCCTCAGTGTCTTTGCACTGGCAATACCCTCTAACTTATCATCAGTGCTGCAATGAAGCGTGGAAAAGGCCCCTGATGCTGCAAGACGAACAAATGGCCACATCTGTGAAGAGCCATGTTCAGCACTAGATGGACGGTACATTATTTATGATAAGTTCCCTGGTTGAGCAGAGGTGGCCTTGAGGAGCGACACTGTCTAACAGATTGAGAGGTAAAATAAAAGCGCCTTTAAGTAAAAAGGTTGGTGGATGGGCAGGTAGTTGCGTTAACGTTTTCAAACTGCAAAAACGACCTCAAAATGAGTAAAAATGTCCTAAATTAAGTGTATTTACCCTTAATTTGAGCAGGTTAATAAGATGATTAGTATTTTTCTCTTAAAATAAGCTATCTAGATATTATGCACTTGAAATACGACAATGCAATTGTTTTTTTGTCTTGTATAAAGTTTTAATTGTCTTGTTCCATTGGCAAAGTGTCTCACTTCAATCCTTATTTCAAGAAAAAAATGCACAGATTTTAAGAAAAAAGGACTTATTTACTTTTTATTTTTTTGCAGTGCACTAATATTCCAGCTGCTGAATATGCACCTCCTGCCGACCGGCGGGATCCACTTCTTGGTTTGGAAGTAGACGAGAACAGAGCAAGCAAAAGTCCAGTCCAGAGAGAGCCAGCCTTAGCCAGAGGCATGCAGACATGCTAACATTTTTGCATTGCAATGCAAATTTCCGGACGAAATGGGGTGAGTAAGTGCATCAGCGAAGATGTGTCATAGTGCCTTGGAAGGTCATGTTTACTTCTCTTCATTTATAGTGTTGAAACCGATCTTGTTTCTAGGTTTTCTGATGTGCAATTCTTGTTTAAACATGTACTGTATGTATCACTCAAACAGCTCAGAGCCTTTGAACGACAAGAAAAACACCTTTTTTTTGCATCGCCTAGTAAAGAAATTCCCTATACATGTGTTTATATTTTTGTTACATTCATTGTTTAGTGAGGCTATCAAATTATATCATTATCTATAGACAGTAATTCAGATAACATGACTAAATGTGAAAATGTTTTACTATGCAGTGCATATCTCAGGTTGAAGCAGTGAGGAATGAATTGACATCTATTCAAAGTGCAGCAAATGATGCATGAGCAGAGAAAGAAAACAAGAAAAAAAAAAACATCAAGGCATTCATGCAGATTTGAACAAAGGCTGCCGATGAATGAGGCTCTTGTTTGGTTTTAAAGTAAAACTCTGCAGCACCGACCTGCTGCATCAAATGACAGATGCGTTTATGTGGCCTAGAAAAGCAGGGTTTCTATTACATCTATGTTTCTTAATGAGTACACCTACAATCACGACAACCGTGGAGCAGCTCAAGAATGCAGCGTGTGAATATCAGATATGAGGGATCTTCAGTTTAGAGGGTATATAAACAGGACAAAAAAAGGCAGTAAATCTGTTTTAGGGCTGCAGAACAGACACTCAGTGGAGCAGCCAGATGCCCCGGAGCTCCAAACACATAGCCTCGGGTGACTTTTGTTCTCTGCACAGACAAAAGCAGTGGATTACATAAGAAAACCTAAAATATTACTAATTCCGGTTGCTAGGGAAGCAAAGCAAAGTACACAGATCCCAGAGAGCTGCTGACATCCCCCAAAGGCGGCTTTTTTTTAATGTGCCCCTTCCCTTTCTGTCCCCCTCACACAGAGACAAGCTGAATACGTGACGCTGTAATTGTTTCGTCTCGTGGCTTAAAGCAGAGTCTGTGGCGCAGCCTGCGGAGTCAGCATTCATCACGGCGAATAACATCCCTGAAGCATCAAAGCAACGCCGCAGCATCTTTTTATCAAAACACAGACGTGTAAGTTCACCGCTTTGGAACGGGATAGTGGTGTTGTCACTGCAAACACTGTAAGATCATCCCTCATTATCAGTTAAACGCAGGACATGACAAACAAACCTGTTTGCACATTATTAAAACCATTGCGTATGTTGGGAACGGCTACACAGTTTTATCCATTTCTTTAAAGCTTTATTAAAGTAATCAATCTAAAATAAAGGCTGTTGTTTACAGTGAGGGATGCCTGGTAAGCAAAACAATTTTTTATGAGAAAAAAAGGCCCATAGTTGAAGGTTTACAACCCACAGTGGAGTTTCCGAGTTTGGCAAACACCCAAGTAAACACTAGAGCTGTAAGAGTGCAGAAAAAAACAAACAGGAACTTTGTTTACTACAGTTAGCAGTTGTAAAATAAAGCAGCTGAACATTAAACTGATAAGGATGGATGAAATATTATTTCGTTCTACTGTTTTTATTTTATTTGCCCTTTTGATGGTGAAAAAGCCTCTTTTAAAAACAGGAAGTGAATACTTTCTTTTGTCCCATACACAAATAGAGTTTTATATATGTCAAACTTGTTTCCCATCCACAAAAGTTTTAAATGATGTATATTTTGAGATGGGAATATGTTGCAATCACAAAAGGGATGGAGTAAGCACATTTCCTATCATCTATGTAAATGTGGCCGAGATTCTTGGAAGTAAACAGGAGGAATTCTAACTTTCCGTGATACAATCACTTTTAACCACAGGTTCACAAACCAACTTCAATTTTAGATATAAGAGAAGGAATAACCTGAGACTGGGGGAAGCAGAGAACACAGTAAAAGACTATTCGGAGAGAAGGCTTGAACAGGGAGTAAACAGCCAGACCACCAAGGTGACTCCAGCTGTTTGGAAATAGATGGTTAGGAGATAGTAAAAGGTTTGGTTTTTACCGGCTCTCCTTTTAAATACAAAATATCTGCTGCTCTTTCCAAGCTATGATGCTGAGTCATGATATTTAGCTGCAGCTGACAGAGACTCAGCGAAACATAACTGCCAGAAACCTGAGCACTAGCAATGTTTCCATCCACTATCCTACAGGACTGAGGATGGAAATTAGCCTTGAGCTAAGTCCAAGTGTATTTATAACTCCTGCTGTTCATTAATACATGACGTCCCTTAAAAAAAAAAGTTCAAAATTTATATCGCCAACAAACTAATATCGAAAAACATATTTAGACCTTCGTCTAAAATATCAGATACTGTATAAGGAAGCTAAGAATCCTGCACACAGTTTGCAACAACAGCTGAGTGCAAAACTTTTTATCTCCTTAATTTATGTTTTATTCAAAATAATATGTTTACGCTTAAAGTTTTTAAATTAATAGGTCAGTTATTATCATAGCTATTGCTGATATTGTTCCCAGCTTCAGCTGATCAATAAACTCTCCTTGTAGCTCAGATAATAGACTTTAAAATCCTTCTGCTCGTCTTAAATGGATCAGCACCTTAATACATAACAGACCTGTTGTCAGTGTATGAACCTCCCAGACCACACAAGTCTTCTAGTTCCAGCCTGATCTGTTCACCCAGAACTAGAACCAAACATGGAGAAGCAGCATTTAGTTCCTATGTTCCTATTTGAACAAACTCCCAGAAGACTGTAAAAGTGCTGAAGGCCTGAGCTCTTTTAAGTCAAAGTTAAAAAGCTGCCTTTGATTGTTTAAGTTAAACTGTATTATTAGTTTAAGGTTTTTGTTTTACTTATGTTTTTTTTTTTATCTTTATTTACTTTCATTCTGCTTTCAATTTTCTTCTATTTTACCATCTAATTCAAGTAAAGCACTTTCAATTGTCCATGTATTGAATTGGGCTACGGAAACAAACTTCCCTTTAGGAACATCACTTGATGAATCCTTTTCTAACATTCAGTATGACAAAACTAGTCATAAAAGTATGTATTGTTACGACCCC